CGAATGAAAATGTACAAAATCAGCAGTGTTTATAGATGAAAATGTACAAAATCAACAGTGTTTATAGATGAACAGTATTTGCCGTAGCGTATTTTAGAGAAGCGGCTTTTAAAACCTCAGAGTCCTTATGCGGACAAAATCCATGAAGCCGAAATGGTAAACCTTACTGTTTGGGCAATTACCGGCATGCATGGGGGCATCGTTCACATTTCAATCGCGACGGTAGGGCAGACGTGTGTATTTCCGTTTGTCCTGGGGCTTCGTGTCGAGACACCATACAGATGGTAACACAACGGCTTCTAATCGACAATCGGTAAGCATCGTTGTCCTTCTTGGTAACACTTCTCAACTCCAGACACGTTTATCGATTGCCATTGGCTGTGTGGTGTTGTGTTGAGTGATTGAGTAGAGTTCCGGACTCTGAATGGTAGTCTAAGTGCAGGGCTGCATGTCACCATTGTGGGTCTTAAGGATTGCGAGCGTCTGCTACGCCACGATTCAGCAAACTAGGGCCCCCGCAGCCTGGTACGCGCTGGCAGTTCTCTGACACCTGGCTCCTGTCGGTGGATGCGCCTGCGCTCCCGCCGGGTATACAGGCCGTAACCATGGCTGCCCAGTTATCCTCGTCCTTCTGGCCTTTTTTGTGGGTCAAAATCTTGGCCAAGTGTTTAATGTGGCCCAGGGGTGTGACGGTACGCCTTCAGTAGATGTGCTAACTCATGAAATGTCAACCAAAATTTCGAAATGCGTTCTCGTTTCGAAAAGATAAATTAAGTAGTGTTGTGAAACTAATCATGATGCAGCATAAATCTATAATGATGCAGTTACCTCAGGGTGTCGGCTTTCGAAAGAACTTACTTTTGGCTGCATGCAAGCTCTATACTCTGCAAAAACTGACTACTTATGTAGCATGCAATTTTCTCATTGATTCTCCATGCCCTTGAAAATACAATTATATTTCACGGAAAACATGCATAAAAATACTCATTCATTCACATATTCGGTAGAAAATCACGTCTTCTTCCGAGTTCATACTCAAAAAAGAGTATAATTCGGTTTTAAAACAGTTTCTTATTGTGAGATTTTTTAATACCGTTAAATGACCGTTCATGAAACGTCATGTATCTGCATTTACGAATGTGGCTTGTAAAGGTAACAATATTGCATGCATTTGTCTACGGTGTTAAGAGGAGACCATATGAGGTTCATAAAATTAAGCAGTGGATTTGAGCAATGTTGCCAACTTTACAAACCACATTCGTAAATTCAGATAAATGACGTTTCATGAACGGCCATTTAACGGTATTAAAAAATCTCACAATAAGAAACTTTTTTGAAACCGAATTATACTCTTCTTTTGAGTATGAAATCGGAAGAAGACGTGATTTGCTACCGAATAAGTAAAAGAATGAATATTTTCATGCATGCTTTCCATGAAATATAATTGTATTTTCAAGGGCATGGAGAATCACTGAGAAAATTGCATGCTACATAGGTAGTCAGTTTTTGCAGAGTATAGATCTTGCATGCAGCCAAAAATAAGTTCTTTCGAAAGCCGACACCCTGAGGTAACTGGATCATTATAGATTTATGCTGCATCACGATTAGTTTTACAACACTACTTACAACCTGCGCTCTCTCCCTCGCCTCCGGTCTTCTTGACTCTGTCTTGACACCGGTTCCAGGCGGGAGGAGGAGAGAGTGAGGTAGATGCTGCGAAAGCCTACTCTCATTATAAACCAAATGCATGCTTAAGTCAACATGTCTGCTCTCAGTTTGCTGTGGAGCAAACGGTGGACATCGTCGGGCACGACGGTCAAACTGTCGACTGAGTAGAGTGCTCTATATATGGGGAACGAAGATACGAAGCGGGATTTTTATGGCCTGCGGCAATACCCTTTTCTTTAATGTTCTTCTGTGCTTTTTAATTCAGTGCATAAACTTACCCTTTACTCCGCTGAAGGATACGATATGTCTCCTTTGGAAAGTTTTTCGCCCGGTTGGCTATCGCGCTTAAACGAGCTTCTGTTGTCAGGACAGGGAGATACTGTTAAAACTCCGTACATGAGAGACTGACTAACTACTACTACTACTACTACTACTACTACTACTACTACTACTACTACTACTACTACTACTACTACTACTACTACTACTACTACTACTACTACTACTACTACTACTACTACTACTACTACTACTACTACTACTACTACTACTACTACTACTACTACTACTACAACCAGATCACGAAACATCAATCTCGGATTTCACTTTGTGCACACGTACAGCAATGTTGTTTGATTATTTACATAGAATTGCTCCATTCTCAGAAGTTGAATGTAACGAGTACTACTGCCGTCATGGTGTTTCAGTTTGCGCGAACTGAAATGCAGATACTTCTGCCCTTTCTACCAGGCAGCCGGCATCCATGTTGCCCTGTCTGTTGCCGTTGTGCCATTAACTGCGCCTAGGAACTCTCGCGTGCGCGCGCACTCACTAACCTTCATTCAAGGTCGTTGGAGTGACTAAAACGACACCCATGATTGATGTTCCACACACACACCTCGAGAAGGCCTGAGCCCGCTAGTTGTGGGGTTGTGCATGTGAGTGCTGGCGTTGACGACAAAACTAATCATCGTTGTGCGACCTTCAGACTCCCTGAAAGCACAACGGCATGGTGACTGTTTAATTCTCGGAAGAATGTTTCCCGAAAGTTTAGTTTTCAAATCTTTGGCGTTCTTCCACCGAGGGCAATATGCACAGAGCCATATTCACACTTGGCAGATATCTAGCCTGTCACTTGTTTGGGCAGAAATTACGTAGGGCGCTTATAAGGCCCCCACCAACCTACTCCAAAGGAATGCTCGATCTGTACGCTGGCTTCTTAGGGGACATAAATTGCCTTCTTTCTGTAATTTTCTATCCTTACGTCTTAAAACCTATGTGGTTCCTCCAAAATTGCCTACTGGGGGACTTCGTTCATTTTTGAACAATTTTTCATCTGAAATCTGTTTAGGGCCGCTTTCAGACCTGCTAATGATAAAGATTCCCAACAACTAGTTTGTCCGAACTATGTCTACCGAGGTAGATAACAAAAGTCCTCTGTCCACAGGTAACCAGTTTAATAGTCTTGCCAGCCGTTTACATTCGGACTGTAACAATGTTAACCATCAACTTTCTGCCCAGACCCGTTTCATGATGTATTCGCCAAACACTGAAGTAAACGCCAGTATATATTTTCGATGACAATTATTGCCTTTGTTTGGCTAAAATAATGTTTACCCAAGGACATCTCTCGTAGCCACCTACGACAGCCCAAAGCTTGCAGAATTGTAACTAAGCGGTATATATATTTTTTACCTACACAAAGTTAGCATGTTTTCTTGCAAATAACTGACAAGAAGGTCACTTCCTTAAAAGGTTTTGCTACAAAGGGCACCTTTTTAAATCTAAAATTTGAAAAAAATACTTACACTAGGTAACAGTTCGTAGTATAGGGACTCAGAAGCTTACTAGTATATTCGTTTAAACTAGTATCCGTCGGATTCTTGATCCAGCGAACGATTTAACCGCATTCTCCAGATATATTTCAATATTTTTTACATTTTCTTAGCTCGCATCATAGGAGACTCAAAATACGTCTTCAACGTCTGCCGGCCAGCATGCAGGACGCAAAGAATCAAAACCTGTGTCATTGGCTCAATTCAGAAAGTTTTTAACCGCCAATAAATTCTAGAACTTAGTCACAGCTATATTGTACATTCTTTTAAATAGGTGATTTTGAGATGGCATAATTTCACTAACGGTTTATAAGAAAGTTAATTTTTGCCATTCTATCGAGAGGTAGTATTTGTCTATACTTAAACTGCAAAAATCGGTGAAGAATTGCTTACTCAAGAGGCGGTTACTTCTTCCGATGAAAGGTAACCTGGGTTGCTAGCAGTTAGCTTAGTTTGAAGGCAAAATGCTTACTTTGTGCGAATAACCAGTGAGTATGCTGACTGTTAATTGATTTTTCTGTTAGGCGCCATTAAGCTTTCCAATTGACAGCCGACATTTAATGCGTTTTGGCGGTAACTGCATGCTACAACTGCCCATATCGACAACAAAAACGTACACTGTGGCAAAACCTTCAAATCTTCATATGCAACCGAACATTTTAGAAAGGGCGATAGGAGACAAGGTTTTCTTTTGAATACATGCATGTTTCACACTAAACGTCTACTATGGAGACTGAGAAAATAGCGGCCCATGACAACTTCTAAGTTGACAAGTGGAATCTGATAATGCAGCTTTCGGAGCCTCTGTTATTTAAGCTCATCCTACGCAATTAGAAGTCCATTGTATATTCCCGACCGAAATTGATAGGACAACGGGCCCGTGGGTCAGTAGTTAAAGCCATGGGACTTCTAACAGGTCGTGAGTTCGAGCCCCAGGTGTTCCAAACTTCGGGATTAAGTATGACTGGCTGACGACGACTAATAAACCGGAAATGGCCATTACAGTCTCCCATGTCTTTGTCGGTAATAACTTACTACGTATATCATGTGCCGCTGTGCGGCTGCTGGTTGGGCTCGATAAAGAGTCCATAAGGCATAACGGAACGAGTGAGTTCGGAAAGAACGATCGGTGAACGTCCCTACCATTTTATATATGTTGTAGATCAGAGGTAGTATGTATTCCGAGCCGATATAATGAAAAAAGAAGAGGTTCTTCGGAAAAAATCGAGTTGATACAGCACAATAAGCCCGAAATAGTACTGTATCAATCTACCCACATTCTCTGTCGTCCATCCTCGCTGCTATTATGACTTGACCGACTTCGGCCTGGTAACTGGTTGCCTGTTCGTGACCTTTCCCACCCATACGGAGCTTCTTTGCTTCGTGAAGCCAATAGATCGGTGTGCGTCCATTCCTGATTGAATAAATACCCGATCTACAGCGACAGAGAATGACAGGAGGCGAGGCACTGATGAACTTCGGTCCGATGATGTGCTTATGACCCATCTGGTAGACCCCAGTGGTGGATCAACTGCGCCAGGTTCGTCTGTGCGCATGTTTGTGTTTCTGGTCCCAGCTGCTGGTGGTCAGGGTTATGATTGGCTGAGTGAAGGCACAATAAGCCCGAAACAGTACTGTATACATCTACCCGCATTCTCGGTCGTTCCTCCACTTACTTTCTACAATGGTTCACGGCACGAACAAAATTTGGGGCCGGAATTTATATCACGTCATAACGGTAACGCTACTGAAAAAGTATACGTAGAGTTTATTAATAGAAGTAATATTATTTCCACGAGCGCTCATGGTAGTCAACTGTTAAAGGGGACACGATCGCTGGAACAAGAGCTTTAGTAACCCTCGATTCTACACCCATCGTCACGCATTTCTTACGATTGGAGTCTACTCAGCACTCCTCACTTAGGTTCTTTAGCTAAGTACCATCCGCGAACTGCGTCACGTCCGACTTGGGCTTAGTTGTTAGACAATTTACATATGGTGTGATGAGCAGTAGCCGCAGAACAGATAAGCACGGACCTCATTTTGGACGGGAATCCGATTTAGCGCGCCACGGGCTCAAAAGTTCTTTAACCGAAAGCCACAGGGAGACCCATGTCAGTATCTGAATTTGATGAATGGCTCTTTGGAGAAAAAACATTTTATGAACAGCACGTGGCTGGGGGAGGAATTTTGTCAGAATCCATACCAAAGAAGCTACATGATTTTTCTTTCTCTATGTAGCACTCCTTTTTGGCAATAAGCTTAAGCGTTTTTACGCAGTTGTTCTAAACCCATTCCCAGTACCAGCTGGTTGGCAAGTTTGGGCAGTCGACTGGTGCATGGAAGAGGGAAGAAAGATTAATGATGATGATGATGAGGAGGAGGAGGAGGAGGAGGAGGGGGAGGAGGAGGAGGAGGAGGAGGAGGAATCCAGACCTATGTCCACCATTGCTCTAAAGGCCCCGATTTTGTTTGACACTGATTAAAGAGGCCAGCTTATTATTCTCTTCCATCCGATGGGGTCTATGGGCTCATAAATTCTTTAATGCGGGGACAGATTGAAGCGTCACTTCACTTCCTATCGACCAATTCTCCACTTCCTTAACATTTTTTCTGGAATCTGAGAATCACTCTGGATCTTCCTGGCTGACTTGGTCCCGTGACACTTATTAACAGGGACATAAAGCCCAAATTTTATGCGATTACAGTCATATGCTCGCGGTCAAGAACGTCAACTGGTAGCCAACCTGAATGTTAAGAATCCCTCTCTTTGAACAATCAATGAGTTTAACAACCATTTAGCCAAATGTTATACTAACACTGAAATCTCCAGTCGTATATGGTGTGCTTCTGGAGTTAGACGGGATGACGGAAATGCATTTTGTTAATACGTGTTAATAAGGATGTCGATTTTTCGAGAACTACACCTAGACCAGTCAACCACTGCATGTATTTTGTCTACCCAATCTATCGAGTAACCAGAAATCGCATCGAGTGTTATTACGCAAAAGTGAGGGATAGAGTACGGAAGGTGAAGATGGGCGGAAACGAATTAGTCTTGAGGGGCTTCAGCACGGCTTCTGTTCTCATATTAATCTGGTGGGTTACTATATCAAATAGCACACATTTTGTTCCATATGCACTTCGGCCTTCCTCCTAATCCATATGCTGTAATTTTTAATTTTATATGATCTAAGTTACCTAACATTTGATATTTAATTGGTGTTTGCTAGTTACAGTAGATGTACCGCATTTTTCGCGTTCGGTGATTCCATATTCGTCGTGTGGAAATGTGATAGGTGGGGGGCGGGCAGGGTGACCTGAAATTCACGTCAGCCCAATTGGATTTTGAATCTTCCATGAAAACAAACGATTCGAGTAAATTAAAACAAGGATTTTTCGTCAACCCATACTATCTTTTTTCTTCGGTCACAATTATCCTTTGAGGACGTTGTGGTTCCTACTTTAACCCCATGCAGAAGTCCCAGATTGGCATGACTCGATTCTTATAAGAATGCTCGAAAACTGTAAAGCATTAGAATTGTGACGGCCGTTGACGTAATCAGATAAACGACTGGTCATCAGGCAAAACCATTCTACCTTAAGGCCCAAATCGAAGTTGTCGTTCTTGGCATCAAAATTTGTAGAATGGTTACCTCATGCTGCGCTTGATGCACAGCAATGTCGAATTCCACCATTCGCAAAACTATCTCATAGAGGGAGACGCGTGTTTCTTCAGCAGTACTTTTATATGTATAGAAAAAAGTTTTTAGTCAACTAAAACGGGTTTAATGCAATTTAAAGTAAATTGAACCTTGATTTAGTGGAGTGAGCACCTTAAGTCAAACATTTTGCAATTCGCAGTTTGTGGCTCCTAACTGTCTTCAACGGTGTTTATTCTAATACTGCCAAACTGTCTGTGAAATTCGGCCCTTAGATATGTGGGAAGTTTTGATCAACTACGGCTTACCTCGAGAAAAAGCGAGGATAAAAGCCACGATTCGTCGAAACCTCTCGATCTCTGTACCTAGGCGTAGATTAAGAAATTCTAGGTCAGAAAGCATTAATGTCATCCGTAAAACGTTGTTGATGCTAGGTAGCTTGACGCCCCTGAGTTAAACAATTATGACGACTTCATCCTGATGTTCGGTACGTCGTTCTCAATTCCGGGAAAATCGTTCAATGGGAATATCTCCGACATGCCGCCCTAAGATTACAAGCGTCTTGACTCATTCGCCTACTTGGTTGTTAGTGAATCATGTCATGGACAAAAAGGACGTATAACTTCTAATTAAAAATGCTCCTCAGTCCGCATAACCGGTTGAAGTTGCGGTTGATTTCTTCATCTCGTGTGTATGCAACTATGAAATAGCGCACACCAAGCACCCGTTATCCCATAGAAAATTCACATATTTCAGCTAAGTTGGTTTCTTCAACCGAAGTTGGTCCAATCTTGGTTTTCAGGGATCTCATTCTTATGTATATGGAAAACGTGAAACGGTTCCGTTGACACGATCTTTCCCCAATGAAACAAAGAACTCGACACCTCTTCTCAAATAAACCCTCGTCTACTCAGTCAAACGTCCGCCAATCCGGTCGTAGTACGATTTGCCTTAGGGGGTCAGTTAATCCCGCCCCCATGAAATCCGATGCACTTCTTCCCCTTACTTCTACAACCTCCTCCCGCTCAATAGACTTAACGTCTTCGTCTGCCTCCAGACTAGCAGTAGCCCATTTGGCGCTTCATATTCTCCCATTAGCCTTCCCAAAACGTCCATGAATCAGTCTACATCAACTAAACCCATGGTTTCATCGTTTTAATGAGGTCTTTCGAGTCCTCCATTCAAATCATCTGAGAAATGCCGCCAGAACGATTGAATTATATTCATTCGAAAACGGAATCGACCTCGGACCCAAATGAAAGACATCGAGATTCCATTTACTGGGATGCTGCCTTATCTTGGATTTGCTAAACCTTTACAGACGGACTCTTCTGTAAACCCCGTAGGTCCAATTATACATGAAGGATAATTCTTCGTTCCGCGTATCAGCTACCAACCAACGTCCTATTATTTATCCTACCAATAGTTCTTACGTGACTGGCACTACGTCAGGCTTCCGGCCACTTAAGGCTTATTGTTCTCATGTACGTCGCCCTGACTGCTTTAACCTCCATTTTAGGCCTTGTTTCCAACCACTTAATTCTTATACCTGCATACTTCCTCACCAGCCTCTAAGTTCTTTCTAGTCTCCCTCATTTCCAAGTTAACTACCACGGAGCCTATCTTTGTACTAGCTCTCTTATTTTTCCAATACCCCTACATCTTTTAGGTCTCCTATGCAGTCTTTTCTTGCTGACTGTCCACATGCCAGTAAATCTGCACCCACTGGTAAACATTCTTAAGATCATCAAGGTCAAGGCGCACAGCTCAATGTCAAAGATAAGTGAAGCTTTGCATTTATCTGGATATTCTTCAGCAACTGTATTTTACTTAAGCCCCTATCAAAAGTCGCGTTTTAATAAAGATATAATTTTTCCCAGTTTTATTTGACAGTCTAGCAAAATAGTCGTATTTTGTAAAAAACCTTTGTAGTGACTCCTTTCCCTACTATCTCTTTCTGGTTTTCGTAGTTAAATAGCATTAGTACTTGCTATTCAGCGCGCCTTTTCGTACGTTAGCAAAGTTTTGATCCTTCTTCTGTAACGAAAAACTTTTCTTGTCTCTAATGCCCCGCGGAGCACGTGCTAAAAGGCGAAAGCTTGCGGCCTCCCCACAGTCTCTGAGTGCTAAAATCGTGACTGAAGAC